ATTAATCGGTCGACGACGGACCAAAGCTAACCTAAAGTTAAAGAAATATGAGTGGGTAAGTGAATTTGGGCAAAAATCAACCTAGAATACTTTGTTTCCGCAATTATTTTATTCAGTTCCCGCCCTACATTTGAATTCAAACTTGTCCCGATTTCGCCGCCAATCCTCTAGCCAATAGTAGAGGTGGTTGAAAAGAAGCTTCATTTTTTGCTTTTAGCCCTCCGTCTTTATGTCTTTGGGTGTAGTTCGTTGACAGTGTCACATACGGGAATAAAGATTACATTTTCACCAATTGCAAAGATTATAATCTGGAATGGACCGGGGAATTACGGGTTCGGCAAGGAATAAACGGAATGAGAGGAGGAACGGAGAAAGGCATTTGAGAATGGGCCGATCAAAGATTACGAAAAACGTTCAATTTCTGTAATCTTTATTCCCGTTTGTGACATCCACGAGCCGAATTGTCTCGACTCTCAGTATGAAGGGACTCTATTATCAGCAAGCAAGATTGAGGTTACGCACATCCACATCTTACATCCTCCTGTGATAAATAAAGGTGAAAGGCGATTTAACAATGTTTTCATTTGTTTTTCGTGTGTTATTCGTAGACATGCTAGTTTAAATTGTTACTGCCGCATAATTGAAATTTTTGTCAAGTTTAGCTTCTTATCGATGTTACGGTGAGTCGCCATCTTGTTTGTTTATTTACGGCCCTAAGAGCATCATCAAGCCTAAAAACTCGTTGACCAATCAAAAAGTGGAACAGTTTTCCTGTAGTAAAAAGATACGAATGGCCACACTCTGTCTATAAAGGTACTCTAGGTCGGCTTGGTGAATTGAAATCTGATTGAAATGAAATGAATTGGTGTTCCTGTTCCAAGTTGGATACCGGATAGTTGGGTGGTGGACCGTTCATCCTGTTGACTTTTCATCTGGGTTTCGTATGAAAATGAAAATCAGCCTCTAAAGCATTTAAGAACGCCAGTTTTTGTACTTTAATCCCTGTTTTGAATTATTCTGCTAATAATTCTCTTTGATAATTCTTTTGATAAATATATACGTCCCTTGAAGTATCGGCAAGGAACGATTAATCCAGGAACACCTTGACGAGTGTTAGGTTGCCGGCCAGGTTGGCCCAAGATCCATCCATATAGGTCAGTCATTCCCGAAACCCAAATGAGAATCTTCTGCGCATGACGTCAGCATTACTGCCGCGAAAACCAGAAATGTCGGAAACAATGCTTTTCTTATGGGAGAGAACAAATTTTTCTTAATGAATCATTTAAATTTCTTACTTTTAAATTCTTTGAAGCTTTCTGAGTGTCGAAAGGAACGTTTAGAAATTAGCGTCAAGGGTTTCAATTCAGCTGAATTTGCGTTTTTATATTTTTAAATGATTTTTGAAGTCAGCGATGTAACAAGCCATCTAGTGGTATAGATTCGCGTGTAAAAATGGCTGATGCAGAGTAAACTGTAAAAATGAAAGAACACAAATTCGGCAAAATCGAAACTCTGAATGCTAATGTCTAAACGTTCTTTTTGACACACAGAAAGTTTCAAAGGATTTAAAAGTAAGAAATTTAAATGATTCATTAAGAAAAATTTGCTCTCTCCCATAAGAAAAGCAATGTTTCCGACTTTTCTGGTTTTCGCGGCAGTAATGCTGACGTCACGAGCCAATGGAAAGGGGCTTACCCCGAGCGGGGAAATCTGCGCAATGCCTGACCTATATGGATGGATCTTATTGGGTTGGCCTAGTGGTTAGCGCGTCTGACTCTAGGTCAATAGGTCCCGGGTTCGAATCCCGGTGGTGGCGACAAATTTTCATGGAACTGACGAGTGGATCTGTAAGCAGAATTCGCTCGGCCTTAATCCGTGAAAATTTGTAAGCCCGAGCATGGATGTCTACCAAACTCCCGGATGTCTTCGGACAATAAATAGTGCCTATAGATGTGTGGGTGCTCAAGTGATGTGGTGGCCCTGAAAAGGGCCGTTTTAGATGGTGATGAGAGACAGGATGGATGGCGTCTGGAGCGAGCGAAGACTGGAGCAGCGTGACTGGTCTTGACTGACTTGAGGACTGAGCACGAGTGCCGTAGGTGGCCGGGGGCGCTGGTCTTATACCCTCGGGGTGCGACCGTGTCGGCCAATCACGGGCGAGCGCGGGATGCGCCGCGCTGGAGAGGCGGTGATTGGCCGCCACAGATGGCTGTAGATTCCTAAAGGAATAGAAGCCACTAAACTCTCAAAAAAAAAAAAAAAAAAAAAAAAAAAAAAAAAAAGTGTTAGGTTACTTATGTTATGTTTATACTGTTGTTTATCTACTCACGGTCGTGATCTACCACATCTGTTGAAAAGAGTTCTACTGGTTCTACCATTTTCCTTTTACTCAAAAACTGACACAATCAGTAAGTAATTTTTCATCATCACACCCTTGCGTACTTCAATTCAGTCTAATGGCACCAGTCGAATGGCAGTCTATCGTTTCCAAGTATTCAAATTAAAAATTGAGAACTCTCTTCTTGCCCAAACAGTTTGCCGACTGTTACTTACTGTGAAGACAACAGCTCTTTCACCCGTCCGTTCAATATACTGACTTATAGAAAGGCATCCTCACTGCGCATCCTCTATCATTCTCTTGAATTGGCTGGCTAATTTATTAGCGAAAACTTGCAACACCTCATCCCTAGAAATTTGACAAATCGCACATTTGCAGTGGTGCGCCGGTGTTGCACTTATTTCATCCCATTTAAGGCAACAGATAGTTGTTAAATTCTAAAATACTATCAGAGCTGAAACAAGAATAAACCGCTCTGCTTTTCAGATGTGCTAACTTCCCATCCTATGTATATTCAGCGATAGATCAGGTCATCCGTCAACATTCGACGGTGAAGGCGTGAGTTTAAAATTTTATTGACTGGTGTAATGTAATTCCTTCAGCAGCTCAGACCTGTAAGCAGTAAAGTGGTCCATTTTTAAGTGTTTCTCGGAAGGAAAGGTCCAAGGAAGGTCCTCGTCCCTCCAGACGGAAGGGTCTTACTCTCACGAAAACTTTGTTCTGCTAACAAATGGTGGCTTATTTATTATAACGTATTTTAATGTCTGTCTCTATTGACGGTCATTAATTGTAGGTGGATCAATATGATGATCTGTATCTCGCTTTGTATTTTTGCAGATCGACACTTCCGGAATTTGCGATATCACATGTACATCGCGCTGCTTAGTGCCATTTGCTCTGTGCTCTTGACCTTCCTTGTTATGTGTGAAATAAAGGACGTCGGGTAGAGAATCAATGGCTACCTTAATATCATCAATGATCGGAGTAAATTGTGAAATTATTTAAGCTTGATTTTTATCTCATTCATTGCTGTTGAGCGATGGCCGATAATGTCGTATCTTTTGAAAAATGTATTTCTCTCCTAGAAGTAAAGATAAACTGAAAAATGGTGTTGTGTCAGTGCTTTTCTGAGAGTGCTCATCTGTATTGACCAGCTACTGAATCATGGTGCTAATTTTTCACTTACGCTAAAGAGTGCCTAAGATTTTTTTACAATGCACCCATAGTGTTTTCAAGTGTTTCTCTGTATGTACTTATACCAGTTCTAATTGGAAATTTGGATTCATTGTTGTCAAGTGGATTTTCCTGACCCAGTGGATTACTGATTCGAGCAAGTTGGTGAGAGTTTTTTGTTCATTTTCTATTTTATTGAGCATGTTTGCATAATATATGTCATCCTTTGTTACCTTGCATGATGCAATACTGTAGCTGGAGGATTCTCCTACACATGCGTAGTGGAAGCAGATGATGAACATTCTGAGAATATCCTGAGTTTTGCTGCTGATACAGAATATTTTCTGATTATTAAAATGCTGCTCAAAATGTCGGAACATTGTCAGAATATTCTCAGAACATTGGGTGCTATCTGGCTGGTGTGGCAGTTTCACCAACGGTATGCTTTAATTAAATCATAGTCTGAGGCATAATGTAAAGGTGATGTTAATATGTAGTTCCACAACTAAGTGCCCCAGAGTTATGTAGTCACATGTCTACCTATGTATGGCGCATAAAGGTAGGTACACAAGCGTATCCACCTATGCATGCGAATACCCACTATTGCTCTGCAACTACACATTCATGGTGGCTACTAACTGGTGACCACCTCGCAACTACCTTGCGAATACCCCGTGCCTACTGATGACCCTCTTGAAAACCATGTGACTACACTACGACCTCCTACATATGCACACAACTATGCTGTGTATTCGCAGCATAGTCGCAGCGTAGTCGTCTTTTTTACCAGGGTCAAAAATCGAGAAACGCACTCCTACACTTTCACCATCGAACTATGAATTACGCGAATTAGCACTCACATACGTTATATTTTGACTACGTTCTTCGGGTAACTTACTAACCACCCGATTTTTTTCGACAAACATTTTTGATGACAGATGGAGGACATCTTCTACGACTCATGTATGCAGCTACTTCAAAACCGACTAAAATCGAAATAGATACCTACATGGTTTTGTAGTTTCACCATCAATATGCGTTATACCCTCGTATCTCCGCATTACAGTTTTAAAAATTGTCGTATTTTAATTTCTTGACTTAGGTAGACACCTCGCGATGGATTTTTGCTCAATTTCTTGTGGCTTCAACACGTGCAGACTTTCAACCTCCGGAATACATGGTAAATTCAATTTGGTTGGGTAAAACAGGATTTTAGAAGACAAATCATATGAAGGGGGGGGGGTCCAAAAACGGGGGAAATGTTGGCATTTTACAGAATGGCAGGTGCCTAAGTTTTGGCTGCTAAATGGTTATTACGCTGATTTCTGTATTGTTTAATATTTTAGCCTGCAGACACCAGAATATTCATAGAAAAAACAGAGAAATCGGGTTTTTGAGACTTCCTGAACCATGATTTTACTTTCAGGAATACGTTGTGATCCCACATAGTACTGTCCTTGTTAGTTACCTAATATTTTTTTCTCAACAGGGCGAATTTGGACATCCCGGACAAAAGGGTGAGCCAGGACCAATGGGAGACCCCGGGTACCCTGGTGAACCAGGAGCTAAAGGAGAAAAAGGCTTGGTTGGGCCACCTGGATTAAGAGTACGTATGAACAGCAATCGGGAGCTCTTTGGAGTAACTGTGTACAAACAGAATTTTAAATTTCAAGAGAGAAGTATGGAGGGAAATTTCAGGAGGAAATTTCGAGAGAAAACTTCGTGAAGAAATTGCAAGAGAAAATTTCGGCAGAAAATTCAGGAGAAATTTTCGGGTGAAAATTTCAGGAGAAAATTTCACGAGAAAATTTCAATTGAAACAAGAGACAATTTCAAAAATATGGAAATTTTTTTAATTTCTTTGTTTCACCGATATGGAGGGTTTGAACGGTCATAACTCACAACAGAGCGCCCTCATTACTTTCTCATCATTTAAAAACTACCAATATCACAGTCATAATGTGTACACTGATTTCTCATTGTTGAAAAACCCATGGACAACCCATGGGTTCTAATGTATCTAACAAAAATTTTGAATGAATACATCAATCTACCAAACGGAAATAAATCAATAAAAATAGGAAAAATAAACAAATAAATCTACAAATATACCTACGTATTTGTTACGAAGTGTATACAAGCATGTGACCGAGTAAAGAGAAAGAGATACGAATATTCTGCTAACTTTACTCTAATCGAGACCGATTACTTGGACACAAACAGAAACTACTATTACCTACATAAATATGAAAAAGTGTCGAAACAACAAACTCGAAATTGCAACAAAAGTAATTAACCTTTTACAGAGTATCAGGCCATGCAGCTGACTTTTTTTTTACCAATTGAGTAACTGAATGATTTTTATTTATTGTAAAGAGCTTAACTCAATTTTGTCCCCATTTTATTTTATGTAATCTTAGATTTAATAAAAGTGTTGCCTTTGAGCTTTCTGACCATTACGTTTACTGTAAATTTCAGGGTAGAGATGGTTTCCCAGGCCCACCGGGCCCATTTGGCCAAAAAGGGGATAGAGGTATGGATGGCTTGACTGGATTGCCTGGACGACCGGGTATGAAAGGAGAACCTGGACGTGACGGACCACCTGGGCGACAAGGACTCAGAGGACCTGCTGGTCCTCCCGGGGTTAGTATGCTTTCGAATCTTCGTACTTGCTCTTCCCGTCTCGTAACTGTGTTCGTTTGAATCTAAAACTGCCTGGTTATTGAAATAATTGAAATATTTTAGAGGATTTTGGGGGGGGGGGGATGAAAGTTGTTTGCAGAGCAGTTACATGCTTGTGGAATATTAAAATTGAGGGGTCTGCAAGACGATTTTCATGCCATTTATTTGTTCTTGGGTTTTATTACTTGGTACACAGTGAAAAAAAGGGGGAAAATGAAAGAAACAGGTATTTACAACGTATTGTAATGTTATATTGTTTTGCGTTTTCTGCTTTATAAATAATTTGGCAAGTACTGCAGAAATTGGTTTCTCGGTAAAATCAATTTCAACAACAATTTTCCCTGCTAAAAAATCACATGCGCCCCCAAGGGAATGACACGACATCACATGTGCTACCCTGGGTAATGGATAGGGGAGCCCGTGTATTCCCCTGGGAGCCAACATGTGACCCGTGTGCTCCCATGGGAGTGTACATGTGACCCATATGTGCTCTCGTGGGACCTCTCAGTGTCTCGTGGATCATAATAGAACTTAAAGGGAAATGCCACAGGCCCATATGTGACTGTAGCGAGTGCAGCCCATCATGTACAGTGGAGCATCATAGAACTATAATCATGGGAAATGCATGCAGGGTTCTACAATGTCCTGCAAAGATATTACCAAACTTGGGAACGGATACAGTGCGACAAAGCACTGCATCTTCATCTACTTTAGATGCTTCACAAGTTATACCCTGATAAAAATTTCCCCTGGGAATGGAAATGAAATCACATGTGCCATGTGCCATGTGCTCCCCTGGGAAATGGATAGAAAAGCCTCTGTGCTCCTGACAGGTGATCCCCTGTGCCTCCAGGAGAGTGAACAGGGGTCCCCTGTGCACGCATGGGAATCTGGGGATCTTCAGTCCCGTCTCTCTGTCACCACGCGTCCGTAGCTTGGCCGTCGGTTGGCGGACTTCTGACTTCTCGGTTGTTTTTTCATTTTATTTATTTTTCAATCTATTTTCTTCATTTATTAATTTCAATCCATTGTATTTAATTACGGTTAATCTATTTTATTTTTTTATGTTCTATTGATATCAATATATCTTAGTTTATTTTATTTTATTCATGTTAATTTATAGGTATTATATATTATTCATTTTTTTATTTAATTTCATTGAATTACCTATTTGTCTTTATTTTAATAACTATATTTTTCTTTTATTTGATTCATGCGTGTTATTCACTTCTTTCCTTCTAAAAATTGATCTACTTTTTTATTATTTTTGTTTCCTTGCAACTACGTAATGTAGAAATTTCCAAGAATATCGTTGCTTTCCATAATGGAATCGGCGCAGCGCCAGGGACGTTTAGGCTTGCTAAATTACCCTCGATGAACACGCGAGCCACCGGAGCTCCACGGCAGCGACACTCGGGCGATCACGGGGGTCAAGCAACCTCGGGCGTAGTTAGTACTTAGATGGGAGACCATTTGAGAATGACCGCGGTGCGGAAACTTGCATAGTGGCTAAGAATCCCTTCCTTGCCCATAGAATGCCTTGGCAATAGAACAAATTCATTTTCATGGATAATCCTTTGTCTTTTCCTTCTATGGCCCTCGCAGTAGAGACGGCAGTATGTGGCATGGAATAGAGAGCTTCCTAGGGGAGCCATTTCCCTGCCCAAAACTACTTAGATGAAATACCCAGGGGAAATTTTTAGCAACGTTTAAACACCAATTTTCTCGAATCGAAAGATTCAAGTCATTATCAGTGACACTTCATAAGTATTATTACTTGACCTAAGAATTTCTTATACTACTGTATTAGATATGTATTAGATACGTATTTTCCCGCTTTCTCAGCATAGAATATTTATAAGTTACGTGCGTCTGTAAAAGTGTTTCCGTATTCTTTTATAAGTATTATCCAGTAAAAGGATCACGTTTTCATGGGTTCTTTTTCTAATTAATTTTTTAGGGTGGAAATGGAAGACCAGGCCCTCCTGGTCCTGCGGGACCTCGTGGATATCCAGGAGTTTCCGGCCCGAAAGGCTTAGATGGGACGGACGGGCCTATAGGACCCAGAGGTCCAATAGGTCCACCTGGTGGCCCAGGTACTCCCGGCGCTCCGGGACCTGAAGGTTTTCCTGGTGAAAAGGGCTCTAAAGGTGAACCTGGACTACCGGGTGAGTTTTTTTCCCAAGTTTTTTGCTACAGTTTTTTGAAGAAAAAAAAGAAGATGTTTTTATAGGCAATTGACTCCAAGGAATCCGAACTTGAGGATCTCGTCGTAGCTCAGAGGCTTCTCCGTTGGGGGCCAGAGGGGACCCCACGCTGGTAAATTTATTAGATCCAAGTCCCCTCTAGGTATGCCCCATCGTAGAAGTCTTTAGAGACGACGGAACTTTCAATTCAAGATTACTTGGGGTCGATTTATTTTTCACAAAAACGTCTTTTTTTAAAGGGTCTACGTCCATTATTGGATAACTTGCATTTTCTGAGGAGGCTCTCAGTATTTCGAGCACGGACGGGCCCATTTCGGATGTCTTGGGATAGATTCAGGTTAAAATGCTCCTTCATTTCCGACTCCCAAAGCATAATTTTAAAACTTTGGCGAAAACTCTGACTTTTAAAGTACGGACTATCCTTTTATCCTCCGAGGGGGGCCGAGGAGGCCTCAGGCGATGAAAGGATTCTTTGGGGTCGACTCCCTATTTGTCTCTGCGGCCTGAAATTGACCCGACCCAAAATATCCAAGAGGAAGGCCTGGTACTAAGGATCTGATTCATTCTGGGGCATTTCGGGTTAATTGTGGAGTTCCAACTAATTGACATAGACAAAAGTTAGGGTCAAAATCGGTTTTCTTTTAGTTTAAGGGCCACAAAATAACTTTAACGTGCCACCCTGAAACTTTAAGAGTATCTTGTAGGGTCCCTAGGATACCTTTTCCTAGCAATCAAAATATCAATTTCCCGGAGAAACAAATTCAAAACTGCCGCCATGTCCAAAATCGAAGGATACGGAGGTGCCACAAAATCCACAAAAAAATCCAACAATTTATTAGGAAATTTTCTCAGATACGCAACATTTTCTGAGGACCAAAATTGTTCTACATAATATTTTACGTGGGATTATACAGGGTGGCCCAAACCTACCGTACCAGGCCTTTTTTTCGAAGAAAAAGTGATTTCTGAGTTTTGAAGAGTGGTTTATTGAATAGGGAATCGACCCCAAGAAATTCGAATTTCATGTTCTCGAGAGCCCCCACCCCCCCTTGGCGAGTATTTTGGGGGGTGACCCCCGTATCTTGAAATCGCGGAGAAAATGTGGTACGATTCGTTCAAACATGAAATCTACGCAAAATTTCATGATGGAAAAAAAAATTCTTCGAAAGCTCAATTTTGAACTGAATTAGAGCCTCTCAAAAAGGGGGAATTACCGTGCTTAAGCTCTCCGCGCATAGCGCTAGCTTTCCTCAAAATTAACGGAATATCCTCGGAAAAGTTGCAATCTAGGGTAATTCTTCACGAATTTGTAGGTGCTAGCTCTCTAAAAAGGCTCCCCGGTGTCACGCAGGGTGGGGGCCCGGGTCCCATTTAGGTATCCCCTTCGCGCCAAACACTAGTTTTCTCAAAAATTATCGGAAAACATCCGGAAAAACTTCAAACCCAGGGTGAATTTCCATGAAAAACACAAATTTCTGGGTATTAGAGGAGTTAAAAGAGGCGATAGGAAAAGGAATAAGAAGAAGGATTAGGAGTCAGGAAAGAGAAACTATGAGAAAGGAAGAGAGCAGTTTATTTCAAGTGAAGTATCTTGAAACGTCCGAATTCGTGTCTCTCACATGACTTTACCCCGAATTCTCAATGTTTTCGAGTGTTTTCTGATGATTTTGCAGAAAACTGGCGTTTTCCGCGAACTCGACGAACGGGGCCTATGCCCCCTCTCCACGTGGCCCTGAAAATTAACCCTAAAAAAAATACCCAATAATTTGTGTTTTTCATGGAAATTTACCCTGGGTTTGAAGTTTTTCCGGATGTTTTCCGATAATTTTTGAGGAAACTATTGTTCGGCGCGAAGAGGATAAATGGGGCCCGGGCCCCCTCTCTGCGTGGCCCCGGGGCCACGCTAGAGCCTTAAAGCCGCTTAGCCTTTTTAGAGCGCTAGAACCTAAAAATTCGTGTTCCTCGTGAAAAATTACCCTAGATTGCAACTTTACCGGGGATTTTCCGTCAATTTTGAAGGAAGCTAGCGTTATGCGCGGGGAGCTTAAGCACGATAATCCCCCCTTTTTGAAGGGCTCTAATTCGGTTCGAAATTGAGCTTTTGAAGAAATTTTTGGCACGTATACGCAGTATACCGCCTTTGTGATCGTTTCGACCCCCTACTCGACACAATAACCGAGTTCCTTACCGGAAAGTGATTGGCGCGAACTTCTGAGATTTTCCAAAGCGTGTACAAAGTTTATTTATCCGTCAATAATTATGATTTAAATTTTTTTCTCATTCTGGGGCTTTCCAGTTTATGCGCAATGAATACCAAGAGTCTACGTTACTTATTTTTTTTAAAAAAAAAACTCTAAGAATGCTCCGCGCTAATTTAAAATACAGGGTGCGGCAAAAGTCCCGGGACGGCTGTTTATTTTTTAAACGGCTACACGTAGAAAAACGAATTTTGGGGGATGTTCTTGGGTCAAAGTAAGCTACTTTTTGGCACTCCCCAAAATTTGTTTGGGAGCCCCCCTAGGGGAGGGCGGGGGGTAACTTTTTTTTTTCAAATGGCAACCCCCCCTTTGTGATACCTCATTCGAAAGATAATAAAAAAAGAAAATTTTTGGCGCAAACCGCAGGTCAAAATGTTCATTTTTGACAAAATGGCGGCCGGTCAAAGTTCAAAATGGCGGAAATTTGGCATCTCCGTTGTTTATTGACGGATTGATGTGAAACTCGGAATCCTAGGGTTTTTCGAGATGAGAAAAACGATTCTGGTATTGGTTTTCCAGAAAAGTCAGTCCTTTTCAAAATGGCGGCGGTCAAAATGGCGGCCTCGAGCGGGAAGTGGATATTTAGGTTGCATATCGTTGGATTTGCATGAAACTTGGTATCTGGGGGTATTTCGGCACGAGAAGAACGAATCTTTCATTGGATATCTGAAATTTTGACAAATTCCAAAATGGCGGCGGAAAAATTGCGGGAAATCAGTTTTACGGCTCTTTACCGATGGATTAGCATGAAATTATTTGATATTTCAAGAATCTAATGAAAGATTCCTTTTTAACTAGCCAAAAACCGCCAGGATATCGAATTTCATGCAAATTCATTGGTAAAGAGCCGTAAAACTGATTTCCCGCAATTTTTCCGCCGCCATTTTGGAATTTGTCAAAATTTCAGATATCCAATGAAAGATTCGTTCTTCTCGTGCCGAAATACCCCCAGATACCAAGTTTCATGCAAATCCAACGATATGCAACCTAATTATCCACTTCCCGCTCGAGGCCGCCATTTTGACCGCCGCCATTTTGAAAATGACTGACTTTTCTGGAAAACCAATACCAGAATCGTTTTTCTCATCTCGAAAAACCCTAGGATTCCGAGTTTCACATCAATCCGTCAATAAACAACGGAGATGCCAAATTTCCGCCATTTTGAACTTTGACCGGCCGCCATTTTGTCAAAAATGAACATTTTGACCTGCGGTTTGCGCCAAAAATTTTCTTTTTTTATTATCTTTCGAATGAGGCATCACAAAGGGGGGGTTGCCATTTGAAAAAAAAAAAGTTGCCCCCCGCCCTCCCCTAGGGGGGCCCCCAAACAAATTTTGGGGAGTGCCAAAAAGTAGCTTACTTTGACCCAAGAACATCATCCAAAATTCGTTTTTCTACGTGTAGCCGTTTAAAAAATAAACAGCCGTCCCGGGACTTTTGCCGCACCCTGTATGCATATATAAGCAGAAGCAAACGAACTGATGCAAGGATGGCTGAGCAGTTCAGTATTCTTCGAATGAGAATTTCACTCCTCTCTTTTGTTGAAAACGTTGCTTTAACAGATCTCTACACCCCTGTTATGCTTTTCAAAATTTGGTACCACTGCTCTGATCGCCAGGGCCAGCCAGGGCAGCCGTAAGTGCAATCTGTGATGCGAGCCTCGAGACTCATTAGACCATTTGCTAAACTTGGCTCATACAGGAAGCTACTTGCACATATAAAAATCTACTTACCCCTCTCTTCCCCGCGCGCCAGACCACTGCGTCGGCGTCTCGAGGAGGAACAATGGACTGCGAGAGAACGGCGGCCGCCACGCCGAGAACCCGACCCTATTACTTACGCTTGATTAACCATTTCACCGTCACGCTAGGATTCGTCCAATTTTTAAAAAAAATTGTTTCGCGTGTACTTAGCAATTTTTTCCTTACCCTCCGTTAAAAAACGAATTAAAAGAGGTCTCTTTCATTAAAATCGGCCGAAAAGAAGAGATGTTACAATATTCGAAATCCGAAGAAATCATACGAAAAATAAAATGAAGGGGGAAAAAGGAATGTATACATTACAATTAAATATACGTCAATCGGGGCTATTTGGGAAATTTTTTGCAGTTTTTTAGAATTTTCAACCAGAAATCTCCCACTAATTTCAAAACAATAGAGCATATTTGGAAAGTTCTGACCCCAAAACATAAGAAATTAGGGTTGACTTATGTTACCTCCCCTTTTTTTTGGGGGGGGGGGGTAAAAATGTTGAAAGACTTTTCCCAAATTGCCCCTTGATGGGCATAATTTGGGAAATAGCACTAAAGCCATATGTTATGAGCTGGTATCAAATAACCTCATACAGGGGGCTATTTGAGAAGGTGAACCAACTTTTTAAAAAATGTATTTGGGCGCAAAAACTGAAAACATTCATGAAAATATATAATTTTTTTGTAAGGTAACATAGGGTATTGACAAAATTTGAAATCCCTCAAGAAAATGTACATTAAGTTCCCGAAAATATCTTCGAATATCTAAAATGAATAAACAAATGAATGATAAGATTCTATGCTCTTCGGAACTTTTCTAAATGGCTCCTTGGCTTCCATTTGATTTCTCACTTCGCATAGGGTCTATACTTCCCAAATTGCCCCAACACTGAAAAGATCTAATAATTCCTTAAGAATTCATGAAAAAAATCTGAAATTTTCAGGATATGGTCTTGACTATGATAGTAAATGACTGGAAAAATCAAAATTGCCAAATGAAGCAGTCGGTCCGGCTGGGATGCAAGAGTTGGACATAACCTCAAAAGATCACAAAAAGTAGTGATAAACAATATTGCTATACTAGCACTCATGAAAACATCGGATTCGTTATTTGGCGACGTAGAGGTACTCTCTAAACCATGCAGATAGCGCCACCATACGCGAATAGTTTTATGAGACAGTTGGATTGCACAGCATTGCCAACAATTATCTTTATCCGCTAATTCCCAAATAGCCCCGCATTTCCCAAATAGCCCCGATTGACGTACTAAGTAAATGAACTCAGAATTTGACAAGCAATTCAATTATATAACGGAGAAAAAATTGGGAGAATTCAACGTACCTATAGTCCAAAACACGTTGTACTAGAAAAGACGGCACAGGCAGGAAACAGGCCAGGAGCACCCACTAGGTGGCGCTGCATTTCGCGGCGCAGATTACTCAAAAAGTTTACAGCGCATGCGTAGCCCATGTCGGCACCAACCAAGTTCCTGGGATCAGTCTGATCAGCAAAGGTTGCAACTGTTCGAGAGTGTCCACCATTGTCATCTTGATATTGGCGTACCAACTGATTTTCGCAGTTTAATGTTGAGCTTGGAATGATGCTTACTTCAGTGTTCTACATCCATAAAAGTTCCTTAATTATCTGGTTTGCAGTTAATTGTCTGTTTCTAATTCTGTATCTCAAGTCAATGTCCACAATTTTAACCCGTATACGTCATGTTCTGCTCTAAAACTAAAAGTGCTTATTCCTCCTCTAGTACGTACACCTAAATGAAAGTCGTGCCTATGAAGTGAGTGATTGTATTTTTACCAATCGTCATTTATCGCAAATAAGTAGATAATTAACGAAATCTTCTAATCGTAGGTAGACGTTAGGAGGTAAAGAGACGCACAAACTGTGAAGAGTCCAAAAATGAATGCCACACTATGTTTTGCAAATAAAATCGATTCTAATGTTACTGCACTTCCGTGCAAACTTTGTCATTACAACGTTTGCACGGGAATTTTCCGGAAACGGTACTTAATACATGGACGTCTACGTAGAATTACACGTTCCGGTACACGTTGCTTTCCACGCGGAAGGTTTCACGAGAAACGTGGAATTCTACGGTGTTGTCAACGTTGAAATTGTTATCTGGGTAGGTACTTCAGTTACACACATATTATGTCCATTTTTTTCTAAAAAGAGGAAATCTTTCATAACAAAGATTTTTTCTGTTAAATACTCCATATTCTGATGACAAATTCTGAGATCCCTAGCTCGAGTGACATTTTCTAAAAACTGATCGTACTGTTGTTGACTGCTGTTCAGTCTTTAACCGGGCCCGCTCGTGCTTGCCGCGTCCAGATCCAACAGTTCAAATGACTCGAAATGGTTTTATTATTTTGGAAAGTTCGATTTAACCATTCTTCTTTAGCTGTTTACCGTGATTGGTGAATAGCTTACGATCAAAATTACGGAGATCTAACGTGTAAACATTGTCAAACATGCCAACTAGGCTACATAATTTGCTATTTGTTTTCCTGATTTCTCTATAGTATGGGATCATCATACTGCCAAAAAAACTACCGAGTCATTGGCCATTAATGACTTCATTACCAAATTCGTCTCAAGATTTTTAACTCTATTGATGTCTAAATTCTCGATAAAGTTAAACAATTTCCTCATAGGCTTTAATTAGTTCAGTTCTATTTTAGAGATGGATGCATGTCTACTTGTTAATTTATTCCACCAATGGTGTGCGCTCAATGGCATGGCCATGAACGAGGTAAAAACCAAATTTATTGTTGTATCAAATAAAATTGATATTACCATTGACATTATTGTTAATGAAACAAGGATTGAAGAGTCAAAAGTACTGAAATATCCAGGGGTGTGGTTAGATAGTGATCTAAGTTTCGGAACACACATTGACAACTGTACAAGCAAAATTAGCAAAGGGATATTTGTATTAAGATACTTTAAAAAATTCTGTCAACTGAATATACTTATGTTGATTATTATTAACTAATTGTAGGACACATGAACTATTGCTTATTAACCTGGTCCTTCTGCTGTAAAAAGCGGACAGAAAGAATTTTTAAGTTACAAAAGAAAGCGTTCAGAATTATCTTCGGTCTGAAAAACGATGACTCATGTCGTGAAATTTTCAAAAACAAGAAACTGCTAACATTTCCATCAATGATTATTTTGAAAAAAGCATCGTATTTATGCCAAAATGCCAACGAAATAAAAAAAAACTGTCTGGCGTGCATAGTATTAACACTAGAAGAAAAAGTAAGTGTCCTTTGCCAACAGACAACACCTAGTGTTTTAATGCCCTGCCATCTACCATTACAGATGTAACTAATATCAATGGTTTTTCTAGAAAATTAAAAAATTACTCAACAGAGAAAACATTTTACTCAATTAATGAGCTTTCTGATTAGGTAGTGAATTAGTGATTAGTGAATTAAGATTAGTGAACTTTAATTAGCCAATCTAATGTAACTCTAACAATCTGTTTGTTTATTTGACGCACCTGTTTGCCTATTTGAGCATTGTTGACAAATAAAGGAAAATATTATTATTATTATTATTATTATTATTATTATTATTATTATTATTATTATTATTATTATTATTATTATTATTATTATTATTATTATTATTATTATTATTATTATTATTATTATCATTATTATTATTATAATTAAATTTAATTTTATGTCAGGTTTCCCTGGAGGTGCTGGTCCACGTGGGCAACCTGGATTACCGGGAGTGCAAGGTCCACGAGGTTACCCCGGAGAAAAAGGAATTTCAATTGTTGTAAGTGATATCAGATACTCTTATCAACCTCATGCAACGTTCTGCATCGTGAGACGTCAGCGGGGTGGTGATGAACTAGTATGCACCGCATTTTGCAATGAAGCATATGTTAAAACCTCATGCATAAATGCACCCATCCTCACGGGTAATCCAATGAAATAAATTGATGGCAACAATGAAATGGAAGTTGTTAAAGGAATTTAAGTCATTACTTTGGCGATGCCACCATAAGCAGTTATTTTAGAACAGCAGGCGTAAAAAAGTAGCCTGCAAAGCAGCGGCTGAATCGAGCTAATTATGTTTTATTGTTTCATAAAGTGCGATCGATAATACATAATGTTATAGGTAGCACGCGCAACTATTGCATACTTACAAAGAATACGAAAAATTTTGGGTCCTATAGGTACCTAAGTAAATTGACTAAATTTTGCGATTTCCGGAAACAATTTATCCGAGTCATCATCCATATAATCACTTATGTGCTGAGGGGAACTAATAGTAAAAATAGAAAGGGCACAATGAAGAAAGGGATCTGTAGAAGGAATGCCTGGTCTCGGCTGCGGCAGGACTGTTTCTTGGAAAACAGCGCAGCGTAGCGTAGCGAGAAAGTACCCATAAGAACTCATCGCACATACCCTCTAGTGCAATTTTTGTCTGCGAAATGCGCCATTGGAGTTTATGCTTTTGCAATAATAAGAATTGCAAGATGATTACCACCGAATTACCACATAGGCGTCTACCAACGAGTTCTTACACGCAGTACGTGTCCACACATCCAAAAACACGTTCACTTCTAAGCAGAAAGAGTTCTTATTTTTGAAAAATAAACTGTGCTTTCCTTTTTGCATAACGTCATTCACGTGTTGTTTCAGAAAGTTGTCAAAAATAGTTGTTTTTTAACTGCTGATTGTAGTCAATATTGTTTTTCGTGGAACCACCTGCAACTGCGATACTTCTTACCTATTGATATTATTGGCTGGTGGTGTAGAAGAACGTGGATTTTTATCTTAACCATCAAACCAAATCTGGTACTCATGCAAAGGGGTGCGTGCAAAACGGGCCATTTGGGGCTCGGTGTGGATATTTTTGAGACTTGTCCTATTCATTCACCAAACATTGCCCCATATTTTCCAAAGGTTTCCAGCCCCCCCCCCAAAAAAAAAAATTGGGGGAGGGGGGGGGACGCCGCGGCGGGTCAAAGTTAAAAATCAGCAACATTTTCGCGAATTTGTAACTAAACCGAGAAGTTTTAAAAAAAGCGGTTTAAACAAGCGTTTCCAGCGTGACGAGAGCCTTCAGAAAATATAAACAGCGTGGGCTTTAGTAGACTTCAGCTCGAGTTATCGTCTCCGAAGCGGCGGAACGCTACAAGAAAACCCTATTTTTTTCACGTCCGGGCCGATTTAAAAAAAAAAAGACATTTTTTTATTTTGATGAAAAACTGATATGTTGTTTCTGACTCTCTGTGGCCCCTTTAGCATTTTACTGCATGCTGGGGAAAGTTTTGGTCGCGAGATATAAGTGTGGAAAGGAGCGAAGGTCGGGAAAATCGGATATTTTAAACTGCGCGCGGTGACGGACCAGAGACAGCAACAATGCGAGTTCGGCCGAGGAATGTGATTCGCAGAACTAAGTGGGAGGGGACGTTTTCCATCCGATCAACGCCGCGCGCGCAGTTTAAAATAGCCGATTTTCCTAACCTTCGCTCCTTTCCTCTCTTATAACTCGCGACCAAAACATTTCCCCGGCATGCGGTAACACAGAGGGTCAGGAACAATATATCAGTTTTTCAAAAAAAAAAAAAATGTTTTTTTTTTTTTTTTGAAATCGGCCCGGACGTGAAAAAAATGGGGTCCTCTTTTATCGTTCCGCCGCTTCGGAGGCGATAACTCGAGCTGAAGTCGACTTAAGCCCACGCTGTTATATATTTTCTGAAGGCTCTTGTCTCGCTGGAAACGCTCATTTAAACCGGTTTTTCAAAACTTCTCGGTTTTCGAGTTACAAATTCACGAAAATGTTGCAGATTTTTAACTTTGACCCACCGCTGCGTCCCCCCCTCCCCCAAATTTGGGGGGGCCTTTGAACTTTGGGAGAATATGGGGCATTGTTTGGTGAATGAATAGGGCACCACCCCGAGCCCCAAATGGCTCGTTTTGCACGTACCTACCCTAATTTGAGCCCTCTAACTATCGTTGCTAAAAATGTTCCATGCGGCTGATTTCGATGAAAAAATGACGTGGAAAAATGGAACAGGAAATATTTCTGTGTGGCTGCTGGCGGCTCCGCAGGTAGGGGTTGGTGGAAAAGAGCCGCCCTCAAAAGGATTATTTATGGAAGTACCTAATCCTTTTAGGGCCGCTCTTTAACCGTCCTGAAAAGATTATTTCAATACATAAATTATTTCTATTATTTATAATACACTATATTCAGGAATAATCCTGTTATTGATGGCCCCTTTTCACCAACCCTAACCTGCGGAACCGCCATCAGCCACATGAAAAGATACTTATCCTGTTCCAGGTTTCCATGCCACATTATCATTGAGACCAACTCTATAGAAATCAGCCACATGGAACATTTTTAGCAGGAGCATATACCTAATTGTGTGGTTTAAATTCCTGCAGAAACCCCTCATATTTAAAAGTGAACCTACATCTTCTATGGTACAGTCGTTTAAGATGATGTAAATCCCCGAAATGAATGTCGTGATACATGAATGGTCCTTTAACAAAGAGTAAGGCTATTGTACAGCTGGGTCTAAAAGATGTACCCCTAGTTTAATTGAAGAGCAAAATCTCTAAAATCAAGACCATCTGGGACTATATTAGTCATGGGGATAGAAACATTCGCAATAACGAGCATACTTATAATCTTAATGCAAAGTATCTTTTTACGCCATTCACTTTTTTTTAATTAGAGTAATGATATCAAAACTTTCCGTAGGGTATGAAAGGAACTGATGGTTCACCCGGGAGGGACGGAGAGAAGGGTGACAAAGGAGAGCGAGGATATCCCGGAGAACAGGGTATACCTGGAGATTCGCAGATGGGTATTCCCGGCCCACCTGGTGCAATGGGACCTCCTGGAGAAAAGGGCTTGGATGGACGGCCCGGCTATCCCGGTATTCCGGGTAAGATTTAAACGAGTGCCAAAAATATTATACCTAAGTTATGTCAGATATGATGTAAATATTGAATTAAGACACCGAAAGTAACATAAAAACAGAGATTGGTACTTATTATTTTCCCAAGCAACGATGATCACGATATGTTGATATTCAATTGACGGATTATCGTAATCTTATCCACGGCAGATTATTATCATATCTCGGAAGATCTCTCATATCTATTATCAAGAATCTCGGTTCAGCGAAATGAAATAGCTACTAACAAAAGCAAAATAAAACCGAAAAAGCTAATGTATGCCGAGTTTTTTCATGCCAATGATCGGCGATATCATCGAATGATTGAAACCCTGATTTCAGTGAAAGTATAGATGTTGTTGGATATGAATCAATCCTATGAAATCGCACTTAATTGCAGTCTCTTATCAGTGTTAAATTTCCTTGAAGATTTTAAACGCTTTCCACAACACGAATGTATAAGTAAGAAAATTAAACTTTATCGTTGGGGGAGGGGGGGGGATAAATTCCGATCTATTGGAACAAAAATTGATTCGTGTTGTTCGCTCCGATAAAATTATTCGGTGAGGTTTCTACTTTTATTTGCTTAATAGGTAGAGATGGGCAAAAAGGAGACCGTGGTGGAAGTTGCATAGGCTGCAGACCTGGAGAAAGAGGAGAAAAGGGTGACCGCGGTCGGGATGGTGCCGCTGGTTTACCCGGGACTCCAGGAAATCCTGGTGAGCGGGGTTACCCCGGAGAAGTGGGAGCTGATGGACTTCCAGGACCGCCTGGAATATCCGGATTGCCCGTAAGTTGTTTTAAATTATAAATAGACATTATGGTTGGACATTGTGTTGTGTTATGTTTGTACGTTGCACATCAATACTCGCTCATTCTGATCCGTCATTCCTCCCGATGTATTGAGATGTATCCTGCTTCATCCCACCATATCCCGTTGGAATAAAATGGCTGCATCCGACTTGCGTCCCGTGGTCAAAAAAAATTGCACTTCCGTCCCGGCAGAAAAAAATGAGGGCGCATTTGCGTCCCGCGTTGAGGGACGGGGGCACTCACTTGCGTCCGGACGTATTTATTTCATTATACCTTTAGCTTGTAAAATGCAACACTGCTTTCCAGGGTTATGAATTGAAGAACGTAGAATGAAGTAAATTTGTTTAAAAAAAAATTGACAGACTTACATACGCAAGAAATCTCGGAAGGAATCTCTCTGCATTAGGCTTCGGTTGACAGGAAATCCCTTGAGATTACTTTTAGTTCAAAAATTTAAGTCTATGAACTTCCTACCATCATAACTGCTGAACTCTAGAATGATAGGATATGAATAGGAATGTTAGGATGTGAATATGAAGGGAAAATATATTATCTTCACCTGGTCGGCCCGAAACCAGGACTTTATCAGGAAAGAAGGCCGTGGAAGGAAACTTTTATATACAGAAGTCATCGAGTGTAAAGAGCTCAAGTCATGTTAAAAACTTCACTTCGTCGTTCACCAATAAAAAATTGTCCTTTTTCTTGGTCAAAAATTTGATTGAATGTCAGCTTGATAAGCTTCCTCAACATTTTGCGGCAATGATAGAAAAGAGGCATCTGAAGAGGTGATCTACCTTTATGTATGTTTTTCCGAATATTCAGGTGATCTAGCTGTATGTAGGTATGTTTTTCCGAATATTCACTAAGCTTCGAGAATTGAGCACATCAATGTCTGCCTCTTCTGAGTAACTCACGTGTAAAACACATGAAAGTGTAAAACGCATAGCGCAACGTTGCCAGAGTGCAATTTCTCTTGCTTGCACTGGCTGCAAATGATTTTACAGCGGGACGCAAGTGAGTGCCAGCCTTATTTACGGCGGGACGCAAGCGAGCCCCTCTGCCCTCTGTTGGCCTAAATTGACCGCGGGACGCAAGTCGAACGCAGGGAATAAAATGTATTCAAGTTCATAAATTGGAACATTAGATACTTACCTATCCATAGGTATATTTAATCTCATTATTCTCATCTTATTCCATTCCTCCCTTTAAGTATATCACGATTAAACCCGGTGACGTCATTTTAGTTTTTCCAATAACAGTTTTTCATTGTTTAATCCATTGCCCGAGTAGGACGGAGACAACGACGATGACGTCATCAGAGGAGACAGAGTTATAACATACAAAAACCATGATAATTTGTAAAGGAAGTTAGCAAAAAAGCCATGAGGGCGTCATCAAAGGATTTCCTTAGCTTTTCCAACAACGTTTTCTGATTGGCCAATTAATTTTCATTGACCAAGTAGGGCAAAGATAGCTCCGCGTACAGAAAAATTGGCTTATACAATTAGCTGCTTTTACGAGAGTGAGAAGATTTTCATGAAATGTGCATTGCAGCTCTCTGTTCTAAGCTTATGTATATTTTTAGGGCCAAGATGGAAGATTTGGAGTGCCGGGACCACCTGGACCAAAAGGAGAGGCAGCGACTATTCCAGATAACCTTATTAAGTGTCCCCCAGGTGACCGTGGCCTCCCGGGAGAGCCAGGACCTGTAGGGCCAGTTGGACTGCCTGGTCCCAGTGGATTGCCGGGAAGACCTGGCCCCCCAGGATTCCCAGGAAATCCTGGAGAAAAGGTAAGGTGTTAATACTACCCTTCCTTCATCCCTAACCTACCTAGTTGCTCACTGTAGCATTTCCTAATTCTCAGTCATATTAGGAAAATTTTCTCAATGCATATCGGCTTTACTGTTTCACGTATAATTGTTCTGAGAAAGATACAACTTTAGTTTGACGAAAATCAGTTACCTACTAATAATAACGTTAAGGGCGATAGAAAAATGGGCCCATGGTTGAATCAGTTGGCTAAGTTTATGTATACTCTTATCTTTTTTTTTTTTAAAAAAAAAAAGCTTGGAAGACTCGAATGATAATTAGAAAAAAGTAATTTAAATTCCCAACGATGATAGTTTGAAAAGGGCGGCATGTAATCTTGCAGATACTTTCAGCCTTATGCCTATTGCAACACCTAATTATGTATATCCTTCCCACTTTGAGCAGTGGAAAAATTCCCGCACTAATTTGTGCGTACGTTTGGGGTTCTTCCCCTGAATTATTTGAATGCAGGGTGACAAAGGATTTCCCGGAAACGATGGAACTCCAGGTCTACCGGGCCTATCTGGTCTGAAAGGAGAAAGTGGCATCAGTGTCAAAGGAGATAAGGGTCTAAGCGGACTGCACGGTCAAAAAGGAGAGAAAGGAGAACCTGGTCGCTATGGTCTGAAAGGAGAGCCCGGTAACTATGCTAAACTACGTAATGGGCCCCTAAAATTTGCTTTTTTATTTGATACTGGCTGCTTCAGCTAGCTTCGCTCGCCTCCGCTCCTAGCCGGGAGGCTCCGCCCCTTGGACCCCCGATCACTCGCCTCACGAGTGATTAAGTATGGGGTTTTCAAGAGCGGATGTCGGATTTCGGATTTTTGGTATCATCCGGACATCGACAGCTTTTTATCAGCTAAAATGAAGATAATCGGTACGGCGCACATGGGATCGAGTTACGTAGTTAGAGAGATCGGACATGGAATTTTTGACTATAACTGCGTTTATTTCGTTCACATTTTAAATTTCAAGGGGAGCTTCTGGAAGACAATTTTACGAGGAGAGCAATGAAACCAGATTTTAGAAGCTCAAAGTTGTGTATGAATGGAGTTATAAGCGTTCAAAGTTTCCAAATTTTTTCCGACCTCTCCTCTTGACTCGGTCCACTGTGCGGCGGTTCCTCAAAATTAAGGATCACAATTAAGGTTTCGCGCCTTACACTTTAATTTAGGTATGTGAAAGACAGAAGATTTTGAAAACACCAAGTGAGTACCTAGATTACGTGGTGATTTATTAGGTACGTACTTTTGGAGCCTCAATTGGACGGACAAGTCTGCTTTAATTTAAAAATGTCCAGAGACCTCAAGAAATTTAAATCGCGCCAAAATTGCGAAAAATGATAGAAATTATGTTTAACGGCAGGTCACATCGCTATTTCCTCTCATTTACTACTGATGTCTGTAAAAGTACAACTTGTCTCAATGTAGATTTATCGCTTGTTAACCACTGATAATATGAATGAAATTCAATTTTTTTATTCTAAAGGTAAAGTTCCGATAATCCTATTGTCCTCTCGGAGGAGGAGTAGAAAAACATTTGACGAAAGTTGTAGAAATCTTTGCTCGCTTCTGATTGGTGCCGAATGACCTACGGTTCTGCACGAAAACCAGGGCAGTGTAAAATGGCGGAAAAGGTGCGCTATTTGATCTGTGTAACTGTATCATCAAATGTGGCAACACACCATTTGAATGATTCTTATCCCTTAAAAATCAAAGATTTAGTTCAATATTGCAATTATTGTGAACGAACACTAAACCTCATTAGAAATAGATTACCGGATAATCCATGATCATGAGTAATAATTAGTGACCGAAAAATACTCTTCTCAAAATCAGAGTTGGACGCCTTTTACCGGCTGGATATATTCGGTCTTCAAAATCTCGCATGCATATTTTGAAATATAACAGTGATTTTTCATATTTTTGCATGAATAAGTTCAGGGTCTTAATTAAGACGCGTTGTTTAAGTCAGAAGTGCAACCGCTGAGTTATCCGCTGAGTGGCTGAGCTCAGCCGAAGTGTTGTTAAACGTTTTCTGAGCTATCCGCTGAGGTAAGCAAAGGCCGCCATCTTCTCAGCAAAATCGCTCAGCGCTCAGCCTGGTTCCCAGGGCGCTTACCGCAGTTTTGCTGAGAAGATGGCGGCCTTTGTTTACCAACAAGTTTGCATCGTCGCTTAGCGGATAACTAAAAATGGCGGACTGACGTCATTTCATCGCTGACTTCAATTTCTAACTTTAACAACGCGTCTTTAAATATTTTCGTGTTTAGAACCTACGTTTTCGATCATTTTACCCTGTGCTGTTAAATGGAGCGTTAATGGTGTTAGCGATGTTAAATGGAATCCTCTGGGATCAGCGGATTTCCAAAGATAACAAGAGGAGGATATATAACGCTGTAGTCAAAAGTATATTAACATATCGATGTGAAGTTTGGCAGCTGAAGAAACGGACACAGAATATGCTGAGAGCAACGGAGATGGATTTCTGGAGAAGGTCGGCAGGAATTTCTAGGAGAGATCGGGTCCGTAATGATAGAGTGCGTCAGAGAATGGAAGTCGAAAATGACATCGTGTTCGACGTCATGACCAAACAACTTGTTTGGTATGGTCATGTCAATAGGATGACTGAAGAGAGGCTGCCAAAAAAGATGCTTGATTGGGTTCCTTCTGGGAGGAGACGTAGGGGACGCCCAGTGAGAGATTGGCGACAGGGGGTGTTGAGTGAGATGAGGGAGTGTCAACTCCCTGATGACCTGTGGGAAGACTGAGCTTTGTGGCGATTAGGCGTCGTAAAGCGCCAAAGAGCGCTGTAAAAGCGACTCATATGTATGTATGTATGTATGTATGTACCCTGTGTTGTTCATAGCCCGTGACGGCATGACTATTCCTATTCCTGTCATCGTGCAAAGGTTGGCAAATAAGTTTTGGATTGAATTCCTTCGAAAGAGGGCAACGGGGGTGTCCTTTGTACAATAGGCGCGGGTGACACGGTGACAGGACTTTGTCGAAGAAGTTCGGAGAAAGCAGTTACGCAGTGACCTCTAGAAGGACATTTACCGTTTGAGTGATGCTGAGTGCCTGAATGCGTTGATGAAGTGATTGATAAATAGGTGCCCCTTTTTGAGGCCTTATTAAACAGGCTATACCACTTTCATGACATACCTAAAAAGTAAACTTTGCCTTGGGGTCTTTGTGTTCGGTGTAGACAACGATTACAATCAAGTTAAGTTTCGAGTTTCAATGTTTTGTTTTTAGGTCAATGTGCCCCTTTGGAGCAAATTCTAGGAGCTAAAGGCGAGCGTGGTGCTCAAGGAGAAAAAGGAGAGCCAGGACCACCTGGAAGAGATGGACTCCCAGGTGATAAGGGATCTGAAGGATTGCGAGTGAGTGACCAATTTTAGTGTTTACAGTACGAATTGCCACTTATAAATTTTCAGAAGTAGTTTCGCATCAAATAACATACTTAAGTCTTTAATTATTTAAGGATTGTCTCTTAAAAATAAGCTTTTGCTTTACAGTAACATATTGAAACCTATCTGGACGTATGGTTGCCAGCTGTAGGGTTGCTATGCGCCTAGCAGCCTCCAGCGTCCCTGGTAAAAATTGGCAGTAGGATATTCTGTTTTCCAAAATACTATAGACCTACAGCCGGCTGTAAGGTTTTTTATAGATTCTACAGCCGGCTACACGATTTTTTATAGCCTTTTATAGCCGATGGTGATAAAGCTTCAGCCAGGTGGTATCCTGTATAGCCCGGTGATAGGAACTATAGCCCGGCTGTATAATTTTTATCGCTTCGTATAGCCCGGCTGCATGATTTTCTTCGCTTCCGACAGCCAGCTACATGATTTTGCTATCGCCTTCTGTCGCCGGCTGTAAGAATTCCTATGGTATTTTGAAACGCAGCTCCTATTGCTAAGTTTTATCAGGGGTATCTAGTCGGTTCAGAGCACAACCCTCCGAGAACTGGCCGGGGTCTGTTGGGATGATTATGTCCCCTGGTAAAAATGGCAAGTGTTAGGTCAGTGAATTTTCCACTGAGGTCAGTGCAATTTGCTCTGAGGTCAGTTCAGTTTTCTCTGACGTAAGTGTTAAAGCACTTACCCAAGAAGTCAGCACTGAGGTAAGAGGCACTGACGTCGGGAGAAAGACTTACCTAAGTGCAGAGATGTCTCTGAGGTAAGCGGGACTGAGGTCAGGACTTGGTTCAGAGGGTAAGTCTCTGACATCAATCTTAATCGAACCGCACTCACTCCCAAAAAGTAGAGATGGCTCCCCCTTCCCCCACCCTATTTCATTTTCGTGGGGGAATATTTCCTCGGGACACGGAGACCACAAACTTTATCTTTCAGAGAGGCATATTTTGTAGAAGGTGGGATTTTCTAAGAGGGAAGGAAAACTAGTTTAAGTAGCCACACTCTTGAATAATTTGTTTTACCCTCTTCGTTTAAGATGACACTTAAATAATTAAAACACAACAAAAAATGAGATCGATAAAAATATTATCACCGCTTAAATATGTATTTAGATATATTTATTTAAGCATTATTATTTTTTTATAAAAAAAAAATAGCTTTAAATTTGGTTTTAATTTTTTTCAGTCTTAACTGTTTTTAAAATGTTTCAGTCTCAATTTTTTTTAAAATTTTCCTACTTTATTTTCAATTCTTTTTTAACTTTTTTACTCCTTTACTTTCAATTTTTGTATCTGCTAATTTATATTTTTTGTATAATTTCAACTTTCATTATTTTTTTTGCATCATTAGCTTTAATTTTGAATTTTAGTGCGATCCATTTTTTTTTTCAAAGAAACGTAACTTACAAAACTTCATTTACATGTTGATTGATTAAAAAAGAATAATAGAAAAATTAAGTATCGGATTCACATTCCAAGACAAAATCATCATTTGCTGGCAAAATTACCCCAATGGGGGCCCTGAAATGGTAAAATTACGCCCCTAACACGTATACGCGCAGGCAGTGTAGTGGTTCAATCGCTAGGACGATCACCGAAGTTAAGTTACGTCGGGCGTAGTTAGTACTTAGATTGGAGACCGCATGGGAACGAGCGATGTCCCCTGAAGATTGTGATACTTGCTTGGGATTGAAAACTCTCAGCAGCCCTCCCTGATCGTCAAATAGTGACTTAACGTACCTGGCAGATCGGTAAGTAACGAAATTTTTGCCTGTACAGTATTTCTGGGAGTTTCCACTCCGCTTACGTCTGAGACACTTAGGTCAGTGCCACTTACATCAGAGGCACTTGCCTTTGGAACAGACCTAACACTGAGGTAGCAGATCAGCGCCCGGCAGCACTGACATCAGTGCTTAGGTCTGTTCCAAAGGCAAGTGCTACTGATCTGAGCACTTGCCATTTTTACCAGGGTCACTAATGGCGTACTTCATCGGGTTCTAGGCGTGCCACCGGTGATTAAGTTATCAAAAACTGGTCGATCAGGTACACTCGAAGGCTTGCCAACCATCCGAATTTATCGGCGAAAGATCTTATTATGAGCTGCAACGAGGGTTTGAGGCGTCTCAAACTACGAAAGCCGTTTGATTGCGTCTCAGACCAACTCGACGAATTTTTCTTAATTAAACCTTTTCTTCTTCTAGCCTTTCCTTTATTAAAGGAGGTGGTTTGATCTAATTTTGCTTAAGGTGAGGTCGGGTAACTGGGCAAGAGTTCGGCGAAAAATGTCAAAATTTCAACTTCATGATTTTTTCCCCATCATTATATTGACAAAAGAGGCTACTTTTTTATTTTTTTTAGCAAGTATAACATCTAGTCTAAATGTAGGATGAGTCAAAAGTCGAATTTCATCTTTCAATTTTTTCTCGCAAATTTTCAAAAATTTCCTGTTTTTTTGACCCAGTCACCCGACGTCGTGGAGTAAGTGGACTAACCCCCCATAATTTTTGAGGGGGGAATTATTTTTCACTGATGGAAAGCCCGTGACTGAAGTCACAGGTTTAGATGCTTCACCAAAAATTATTAATTTTATAATGGAGATTAATTTCTTAGAATTTACCGGGGCCCAAGTAGCAGTACCTAATTGTGATAAATAGCGATTTTATCGGTTGGTTATCGCGATTATATCGGTGGCAATATTTCGAGATATTATCGCATTAAAAATTGCGGTATATGGCGATACAATCGCTACACATCGCAATTTTTGGTTCGATAATCGCGATCAGTTTTCGTCGATAAAATCGAGATTAAATCGCCATTTATCGCAATTTTTTTTCTCAAAAATATTGCGATGAATTGCCGGGCGATAAAATCGCGAAGTCATCTCGATAAGATTGAGGATAATCGCTCAGATGTCGATGATCCTAGCGGTTTCAGCGCCGATAAAATTGCAATAAATCCCGATTTTTCTGTTGAAAAATGCTACTTGGGGGCATTAAATTGATATTGTTTCGGAGATGATACCACTGTTCGACCACGTGGCAGCTTGTTTTGCCTACACTAATATTTGAAGGCGAGCTAACATGACATCAAATTGACCTCCTCTCGTTTCCTTAAAATCTCTCAGATTGTGATTATTCCGAGTGAGCGTGCCATTTCACGACGATACAGCTATTCGACCACGCAAAAGCTCCTGTTGCCTACACTGAAATTGAAGGCGAAATGAAATAAGTTCAATGTAATCTTCTCCCGTTTGGTAAAATGTTTTTTTTAAAAAAGCGTTCCGAGTTAACCGTGCAATTTTACGATGAAACAGCGATTCCACTCATTTCCAATTTAAATCTCCCGGGCAACTTTTATAGTGGGGATTACTAAATTTAAGGGTAATTAACACGAACTCTCTTATCTCCCATTTCGTTAAAAGATCTTATCTCTGTGAGTGTCCAGAGTGAGCATGCCACTTGACGATACTGCTATTCAACCACGTGGAAACTCGGGTTGCCTATCTTAAAATTGAAGGTGAAATGAAATGGCATTAATGTACCTAATATTTTCCCGTATGGTAAAATGCTATTTTTTTAAAGGGACACAGTTGCCGGGTATTTTACGGAGACAAAGATACCACTGACTATTTTATCAGGGTTATTTTGTCTACAGAGTTTAATACAGATATATAGAGTTTTATCAAATTTACTCAGGATCAGTAACCACCCCCTCCCCCCACGTGCCGCAGTGAATCATGATTTATGCCAGTTCATCCGGATTTAATGAGATTATTTCTATACCGATAAACTACGTTCATCCTATTAAATATATCCCACTGAATACACACTGAAATCAGGGGTTCCATATACAGGGTTATTCAAAAGTTACGCACCACTGGCCATAACTTTAGGGCTAATTATGATATCGATTTGCGGTTTGTGGCGTCCTTCCTCATATCGAGGGGGAAACTTTTTGAGGTACTTTTCAGTTCTTCGACCCCCCAGGGGGAGGGGGGGGCGGGGGGCAACTCAAAAATTTCCAATGGCAACCCCCATCATGTGATACATCGTTAGAAAGAGCATGAAAAAAGAAAATTTTTGGCGCAAACCGGAAGTCGATCTGACCCCCCTGTCAAAAGTTAGGGGGGTCCAAAGGTTATTTAGGGGGTCCGTACCTTCATTTTTTAGAGTAGCTTCGGCGGCTCTTGGACATACCGTTTCTCTTTTCAAAGAGTCCTCGAATACTCCAAGTCTGATACCGAAGTCTTCATATTGCCCCCGGGCCACCACAGCCCCCCCGTAGGGGGGGATGGGCCTGTTACAATGAAACATTGCATTAAAATGCGAAAAGTCACAGAAGAGCTTCAAACTTAGCATCAAATCCGAGTGGAACTTCTTGCCAATGTTAACGCAAACGCAGCCTGCGACTTTAAAGTGAGTTTTCAAAACTCTTAGCCCCCTGCCCCCCCTCATTTTTGGTTGCAGAGCGGGTAAAAACCGGGAAATTCACTACAAATAATGCCCGAAACTAATGTCCAACTTGAGGAGGACCCTTGAAACGTTGCGATCAGTCGGAGCATTGAAATACAAGGACTGCCACCCCCTTAAAGTACGGAAACATCCAAAACACCCCCGCTGCCCCCCTCATTTTTCGTTGCGGAGCGGGTAAAAACCGGGAAAATCGCCAGAAATGATGCCCGAAACCACTGTAGAACTTGACGAGAACCCTTGAAACGTTGCGCTCAGTCGGAGAACTGCAACACAGGAACTGCCGCCCACTTTAAGGACGGAAACATCCATAAAACCCCCGCTGCCCCCCTCTTTTTTCGTTGCAGAGCTGGTAAGAACCGGGGCATCATTTCTGGCGATTTTCCCGGTTTTTACCCGCTCCGCAACGAAAAATGAGGGGGGCAGCGGGGGTGTTTTGGATGTTTCCGTACTTTAAGGGGGTGGCAGTCCTTGTATTTCAATGCTCCGACTGATCGCAACGTTTCAAGGGTCCTCCTCAAGTTGGACATTAGTTTCGGGCATTATTTGTAGTGAATTTCCCGGTTTTTACCCGCTCTGCAACCAAAAATGAGGGGGGGCAGGGGGCTAAGAGTTTTGAAAACTCACTTTAAAGTCGCAGGCTGCGTTTGCGTTAACATTGGCAAGAAGTTCCACTCGGATTTGATGCTAAGTTTGAAGCTCTTCTGTGACTTTTCGCATTTTAATGCAATGTTTCATTGTAACAGGCCCATCCCCCCCTACGGGGGGGCTGTGGTGGCCCGGGGGCAATATGAAGACTTCGGTATCAGACTTGGAGTATTCGAGGACTCTTTGAAAAGAGAAACGGTATGTCCAAGAGCCGCCGAAGCTACTCTAAAAAATGAAGGTACGGACCCCCTAAATAACCTTTGGACCCCCCTAACTTTTGACAGGGGGGTCAGATCGACTTCCGGTTTGCGCCAAAAATTTTCTTTTTTCATGCTCTTTCTAACGATGTATCACATGATGGGGGTTGCCATTTGAAATTTTTGAGTTGCCCCCCGCCCCCCCTCCCCCTGGGGGGGTGAAGAACTGAAAAGTACCTCAAAAAGTTTCCCCCTCGATATGAGGAAGGACGCCACAAACCGCAAATCGATATCATAATTAGAACTAAAGTTATGGCCAGTGGTGCGTAACTTTTGAATAACCCTGTATACTATCGGGAACAAATAGTGATAGGAGAAACAGGCGACGCAACTTATTGGTTCGCAATGCCCGTTTTATACTTTTACCCAAATTAATAAAGTTGCATAATCAAGTAACACAGTAAAAAAGTAATTACAATGAGAACTCTGAGGTAAAGAGTATTCCGTAAAACCCTGAAAAAATGGTGGTAGGGGAGCAAGGCATGCTATCAAAAAAGTAACAATAATAATAAAATTAATAGAAAAATGAGTAGAGGGGGAAGGGGGGATGAGGGAGCTAGAAAAATGTGCGGGGGGGGGGGTAGAATAAATGCTGGCAAAAAAGTTTGAACCAACCTAGCGATGATTTTTTTTTTTTTTTAAAAAAAAGCTTTACTTTCACCGTGTGATACCGGCTCAACAACAAAAAATGCATTTTGTTTATTACATATGCGCCATGCAGTTGTTCCGTTTTGGCGAGCAAAAAAATTTCCTCAGCGGGTGGCCGAGAAATTCAGAACGCTATTCAAGAGGGCGAGAGAGCGAGCGAAGCGTCTGACAGGACATAGGCTAAGGATGACTAATAAGTGAGGTGACTGTAGTCCATTTCACGAAACCTGAGACTTTTTATTCGACATTAAAATCCGCAAATGGCAACGCGTCAGTCTCGGACTCAGTGACCGAACCGCTCGCTGGACACTTTCTGTTGTTCAGCAACCATAGGCTGGCAAACCGTCCATTGTGAGGTTAGGAACGATGAGTAGAGGATAGAGACTAAAGTTTGACTCTCCCTTGCGTTGAAACGCCAAGAGAAGTCGGGAGAGCCAGCCTGTGGCTAAGGACGTCAAAGACGTAACCAAAATAATAATAATAAAAAAAAAGTGAGATGAAACTCATTCAGATCATTATGGAAAAGCACAAGTCACGATTTCCTCGTCTGCTAATAGGTATTAGCAATCATTATTTAGGGAGCGTTCGTAGATTATGTAGCGCCCTGGGGTGGGGAGGGGGGGGGCGATTACAAGCCTGCGTTACATAGGGTGAAGGATTGGCAAGCGCCAGCTTTACTTAACTCTCTCTACTTATCGGTAAAAAGTACCTACGCAAAATCCAAAAATTATCATCCTCATTACTACCATGTTATTTGTCACACCATTATTAAAACTACTCAAAATTTATATTTTACCCAGCAACATATGTTCAACAGAGTCCAACAATTGTTGAGATTCTAAGCGGGTTCGTCAAGCGTTATGTAATTATTAGTGTGGGTGTCCGGGGTGCGTTATAGAAATGCGAAGAAAATTCAAAAATTCCAAAACAGTGCGCTACGTAATTTTTGCATGCTCCATTATGAAAAACACAACAATAAAACTCATTCAAGTCACTCTCAGCTCTCATGTATGTATTTTTTTAGAAGGGACTTGCACCTTTACAAAAAACCTTGCATAATCAAACCAACCTTACTCAGATTATTGCTATATAATTTTATTTATAAAAACTAACAGTTTTTCTTTTATTATTTCATTCATCCAGGGGGAAACTGGACCAGTTGGACCACGAGGTCAGCCAGGTCCTGTTGGACCAAGAGGACTACCAGGTCCTCGTGGCGATAAGGGTGATACGGGTGCAATGGGATTCCCTGGTGAACCTGGGTTAGATGGACGGCCAGGAGCTCAGGGACTACTTGGATACAAGGGTAATTTCATACTTAATCTTATTAATATTCTATGAGGTTTTATTAATAATGCATTCCGATTTCCGTTGTGTATTTCGGGTTCATATTTAAAATGGAAGCGGGAAGAATTTTTTTTTTTTTTTGTTAATCTGCAGATTTTAAAAATTGTATACCTCTTACCTGCAGCAGATGCAAATTTTGGATCTTTGCACCTGCTTTTAAGTCTTTTGAATTTAGGAACACACTCTTTAACATAATTAAAGCGGTAGGTATCTGTAAAAAGGGCGGATGTCGAGTTTTTCAGTTTTCAGAGAGACTCTCTCAAAGTTTTCAGAGCTCTGCATGTTGACTCCATTTGAAACCAAGAGGATTCGGCTTAAGGATTTTATGCTGATCAAATCCTCCGCTAAAATCCCTTTTTAGATTTTTTAATTTTAAGCAAAACTCAATGAGATACATCGGGTTGAAAAAAAAAAACATCATCCGCCGTTTAAACAGATGATGTTTTTATGACGGGTAAAATCGGGTTTTAGGTAAGGCAATTTAAGCAAAGTTCAACGATCAATGCGTATTAAGTATTTTAATAAATGTTAATAAAACAATACATTCGGAAACTTCTGAAAAATAAGGAGCAAATAATATCAGTCCTCGCAAATTCAATTAAATTGAATGAAAATAATGTCAGCCTTCCACAGAATAGTTTAAATGAGAGGCTTGGAGGACAAGGCGCATAAGTGCAGTTTTTGCTGTTTTGAGAAATATGCGTTTGAAGTTTCGAAATTACATGGATTCTTATGGCGGATAGAAAGTTCAAACTGACCCTTTGATGCTTAAAACTTGGAATTTCGGAGCGATTTTTTCACAGAATAAGCATTAAGACTATAGTTTTACTTGAAATCTTTATCATCTCAATTTTTCCAAAAATTGCACTTATGCGCCTTTTCCTCCAAGCCCCTCAAATAAGAGTGTTGTCCTCAAAAAACGTACGAATGACCATTAACTGCTTAACTATTAACTAGTTAACCATTAATTCGGCCATTAACAAGTTATTTGAAAGAACGACGAATGTTGACATGATATCCGCCTGTTTTACATATAACACAGCTTTCGCCTGAAATCTCACTCCAGAATGGAGATGTTGCGCATGTGTGAGGGATTTGCGATTTGACCATTGATTCTTATGTAAAAGTTCGCGAAAAACACGATGGTGCCACTGGTTTTCTCTGAAATCATCTCCCAAGCTCAAAAAAAAGCTCTCAAAGTGAGGCTAAAATGGAGGAGATACCCCACCCTACCCTATGAGTCCACCTCTACGTCAAAACAAACTCTCCATGCAAAGATAGGAAGCAAATACATTAGCAGTGATGCCGTGTTTTCAGTTTTGGAGTCCCCAAATAAAGTGGCAACCCTGCTAATGTATTTGCTCCCATTCTTTGTATGGAGAGTTTGTTTTGATGTAGAGGTGGACTCTCAGGGTAGGGTGAGATAGCCTCTCCATTTTGGCCTCACTTTGAGAGCTTTTTCTGAGCTTGGGAGATGATTTCAGAGAAAACCAGTGGCACCATCGTGTTTTTCGCGAACCTTTACCTAAGAATCAATGGTCAAATCGCAAATCCCTCACACATGCAACATCTCCATTGAGATCTGAGTCTAAAAATTTGTACACGTGCTTTTGAGGGTCCGTATATAAAAAAGCTGTTCTCTCTATGAGCGGCGGATGTCGACACCCGTCATTTTTCCAGAAACGGCTTTATATACACATTTTTCAGCGCATTAAAAATAATCAAAGTATTTGTGTATTAATGTCATCCTTGAGTTCTTATTTATTTTTAATTTTCGTTAAAAGGAATCAAAGGAGAGGCAGGAATACCTATGGTTGGCCCAGTTGGACCTATAGGATATCCAGGAGAAAAAGGAGAGAAAGGTTTGCCTGGGCCTGTCGGAAAATATGGATTAACAGGAGAGCCAGGTTCGTCAATTAAACTAAATAAGTTAAGTGTTAAGCACTGTCCATTGATTTCTATATACAGTACCAGACAACAACTAAGTATGTTGCTTTCTATGGCAGTATATGAGCTTAATAAAAGTACCAGCTGTTCCGGGCTCGCGGTAGCGAGCCGTCACAGGCAGCCACAGCAGGACTCCCGCCCCTTGGATCCCGGGGATATCGCTCCGCGCTTGCTATGTGACTCCCTCCGCGAGCCGCTTCATTCTAACCGAAAAGTATGTAAAAAAAAGAAGAAATAGCAAGGGTAAAAAGAACATTATATTTGCTGAGAGGGGTAAGTATGAGCAAGAAAGAAATGAAAGGAAAAAAAAAACAACACAGAAAAAGTGTAGAATAAAGAGAGGTATAAATAAATGAAGAAGGAATCAAAGAGGAAAAATAAATGGAGAAAAATAAGGGGGATAAAAAGAAAAAAGATGGAAGAGAGAAAAGTATAGAAATGAGGGTAGGTATGTTAAAAATAAAAAAAAAAATAAATTAAACAATAATTAAAGGAGCACGAAAAAAATTGAAGATGAATAAAAATAGGAAGAAAAAGGAATAAAGAATGAGATAAAAAAATTGAAAGGGAGATGAGAAAATAAAACATACAGGAGAACATGGGAGGGGGCGGGAAAAGTGTGTATCGTGTAGCACCCAAAAGTGGCGGGAAAAGACGACCGAATCGAGCGAACAGGGAGGCGAGGAGGTGCCCACAATGTGACAACCAATGAACAGCGAGTGACACGGCATTATGGCAAATCAATTTGGAGCATTTTAGGGAAATTAAGTACCTATGTTACAAATCACAGGAGGGAGTCCTCGATAAAATGATTATCTCGTATCGCTGTTTTGTTGTGGATATTTCTGCTTCAGTTGACGACAAGCTAAAGGCATTCTTAGGTTCACATTAGCATATCGTCAACTCAACACGACATATATGGGCACGATAAAGCAGCAATGAGACGTAAAACCGACTGATCACACTACCCAGTTAGCAGCCTAATATTCTATGAACGTTTCGAGGCAAATTCAAAATGTTCTGACAATGTCGTTAGAATATTCCGGAATATTCTCGCAACATTCTCAGAACATTTGAGTGAGACAAAACGATATCCCCAGAATATTCTGGGGATAATTGAATATCCCCAAAATATTGTGTGAACATTCTAGGGATATTTGAAAAAAAAAAGCTTGAAAAGTTCGCAGAATATTGTCGGGGTGACCTCAGGATATTCGTAAAATCCGCAAAATATTCACAGGATATACCTAGTGTGGATATCGTCATTAAAGCGTTATTAGTCCTCCATCCCTTTCCAGCATTGGATGAAATGAGCCCTGAATTGACTCCACTGAGAACGTTGAAAGAAAATTTGCCATGGACCTTCTAACATCCCCAGCTTGTGCAAATATCTTTTCTACTTTTCTTGAGGACAGGACTTAAAACATTTTGAAAAACCTGAAAACAATTGATTTGTTCAGATTTAAACAGGATCAATTGATTTTAGTTTTTTCATCTACTCATAAATAGTTGAAAAATCAGTGAATTTTTGTTCAATTGCGCATGTTTTACGTACTGCCGTCAGGAAAAGTAGAAAACATATTTGCACAGGCTGGAAACGTTGGATGGTCTATTGTAAATTTTCTTTCAACGTCCTCAAGGGAGTTAATTCATTTCATCCACTGCTAAGGGGAAGTGATGTGTTTTTTTGTTGTCCTTGAAGAAAGCAGAAGAAACATGCGTATGATCTGAAACCACTAGGATGGATAAATAACAGGTGTTTCCTTTCAATGTCCTAAATTTTATGGTAAAAATTAGTCATTAAAAACAACATTTAAAGCCATGAAAACACGATTGCATTGAGATGTTACAAGTCTCAATGAACAAATTTTCTTTCTCAAAATGTTGCGATTCTTTCATGTTGCATGGCATTGCAAATTGGCACCTACTTGTATGGCTGAAACTGACTCATTTTATCCATAAAAAGTTACCTAGGTAAGTATAAAATTCTTTCAGAGAGATTCAAAAGGACATTATTTAGATACATATGTGATACATAACTGAACTGCTGTCACCCAGCTTGCCTTGAAAAGAACATGATTTTAGCCGTTAAAAAAGAATATTTGTATGAATCCTTTTTTACACATGACACGCATTGGTACTTATCTCCACGGAAATAAGCAGCAAGTACAATTGGAAAAATATACGTTGAAAGCAAAATTTCAAGAACAAAAGGAGCTTCATTCATACTTAGTATTAAAAATGAAGTAGTAATCATACGAACAAAATAAATAAATACTTATAAGTAATTATACACTTTTTGAAAATCTGTATAACACTCTTAAAATAAGTAAAGGTACAAAACGGCGGACAAACACTTTTGAGAAATTATTTCTTGTTGGGATTTATCGGTTCCAATTCATCGTAATCACAGCCGAAGATACTTTGACTATTGGAAGCTCATTACAGTTACGATTGATGTTGTTGCCATTCTGATTGAATCAACAGGAATAAAGTGCGATATGAAATAGAAATAACAGGTGTCTCCACTCTGAAAATGAAAAATAAATGAATTAGTTAAATTAGTTAGACGGTAGGCCATATTATTGTTTCAGATAGATTTCCTTGATTGGATTTAGCCTCAGGCATTGATCTTTGTTGATAAAACTAAATTTATTGGTAGTGGGTATAAAGCAAAAACGATTTTACCGTCGACACGATTATGAAGGACATGGCAATGCTGTGAAGAACTAGATGCAGCTCTCAGCAAATACAGGAAAAAGCATGCCTTTCCTACCTTCAAAATTGTGTAGTCCTGCTGGCTTCACCGAATATGAATAGGTACAAGTTTTCCGCAAAACTAGCTGTGCAAGATCTCAGATCTGACATCCGAGTTTACTCCTACATGCAGACGATTTTAATGCTAGCGTAAAATCTAGGCAGTAGGTATACTGTCTTAGTCTGACACTACTTTACTTACTAAAATCTGTCTAGCAATCAGAATATTACATAGGTACTTGAAACAAATTGGCGGAGGATAATAATGACCTAGCTAGATTACGTTTCACGATGGATCAATTCGTGCTAAAGAGATGGAAAGTGAATAAGTTCCTGCCTAGCCCACAGAAAGAGTTCTTACCAGAGTTCACACAATGACAGAATGAGACGGAATGCAGATCATATATTTCTAGGATTATAGAGAAAGCGGTTACGGGGATTTTGGGTCATCTATACTATCAGCTTCGAGACCTCCTAATATTGCGTAACTGCTTAGTTCCAACGTTCTACTGGGCCGATTTTCATGATTTTTGCGGCTATCAACAGGAAATTGTCTCTAGATGAGCTCGCTTCATTCAGATTTTCAAAATATGATCCAGGTTGTTTTATATTACGTGGTAAAGTTGCGAATTTTCCCATTTAAACCATTTATTTTTGTTTTTTGTCATAGTTCGTTTGAGCGTTCTACTGGGCCGATTTCTATGATTTTTTCGGTTATCGACAGGTAATAGGCCCTAGATGAGCCCGCTTTAATCAGATTTTGGAAATAGGACCCACCTTTTTTTATATGAGGATAGACTAGAACACTTAAGAAGGGGGGTAAAATCTGAATTTTCCGCCAATGTAAAATGGCGGGAATTTCAAATTTAGCAGAAAATTGAACTGAGCGGGATCTGTGGAATCTTGGTCTGTTAGTAGGATAATGGCCCGAAGTTTGAAATGAATGCCGATTTTTCAATTGATTCTTAAGAGCTGGACACACGTTCGATAAGTGAAGCTTCAAAGTGGTGGCTGTTTAGTGAAGTGTTGCGCATCGATGCGGTGATGGATGGCAACACTTAACGAAACAACCACCACTTTGAAGCTTCACTTTGAACGTGAGTCCAACCCCGTTATTGGTAAAATCGCTTCCCGGCTAGAGGAATGTTGGAAAAGAGAGTCCGGTATGAAAATCTTTTAGTTTTTTTTGTCGTTCTTTTGTCGACGCGGGCCTAAGAGAGCGCAAAGCGCCCTCTGGGGATTGAGCCGCGTAGCGGCCAGGGCCCCTAGTCCAGTATTATGGGAAAATACATTTCAACGAAGGCGATTTCAACGAAAAGCACCAAGGAGTCGTGCAGAAATTATGTTACACACTATAAGAAGTGGGCGGGCGTTTTCGGTACCGCCAAACTTCCATTTGTATAAAAGCACACCGACACCTAGAGCATTATACACGTCTCGGATTTTCATCTCTTCTATATTTTCAGGTCTACCTGGTTCACCCGGTGAAAAAGGTGATCAAGGAAGTCCAGGATTAAATGGTCTTCCAGGAGCACCAGGTCAGAAAGGAGAGCCTGGACCTATTGGACCAGCGGGGCTACCTGGCATTAATGGAGCGCCCGGCTTTGATGGACCTAAGGGAGAAATGGGATTGATAGGCGAACCTGGGCGTCCAGGAGTACCTGGTTTCCCTGGTGAAAAAGGAGAAATTGGATTGCCTGGCTTAGATGGATACAAAGGTCTTCCTGGACCAAGAGGCCCGCCAGGTAATTCTTCAATTTAAAGTATTATGTAAAAGTTAGAGCAGTAATCTTACATATTCTGGAGGCAGACAATGATTCAGCAATTTTATACTTACTTAGGTATTTGTCTCGTTATAGTAATTATGTAATATGGTATCAGTTGATCTGGTTATGAGAGAGAAGAAATAAAATCGTATTCAAAAAGCATTTTAAAAATGAGTGCCTTTCTGATAGGACCGTACATTTTGGAATTCAAAGATTGATATAAGGGGAATTAATTATGTGGAGTTCCACTGGTCTACGTCGGCACCATGGGAGCTTTCCAATAAGGTAATAACTTAAGGTTTAACTCTCCCACCCTCCCCCATTTTATTTAGATTTTTTTGGCAAACCAAAAATCTTCATCAATATAAGACGCAGAATCAGGAAATACAGCTCGTAAAGTTTAATAGTCAAGCTAAAAACTGAAATTTGACTGTAAATTGTATCACCGCAAGAAAGAGCTTGATGCGAAAACGGCTATTTTTGCCCGCCCCCCCCCTGGAATTTCTTCAAACTTTGTTTATTGATTACTCACACTTGACCGTTCCTTTCCCAAATTTTCAGACCATCAAAAGATTNGGGGGGGGGGGGTGGAAGTCAAAACCTGTGAACTTCGATATCTATCGAACGGAGAAAGATATAGAGGTTCAGTTTGGACGAAAAATCGGCGAAAATTGCATACTTTAAGATTCTGAAGGTCAAAACCCCGAAATCACATTTTCAAGTTGACATATGTGCTTTTTTCAGTTTTTGAGTAGAGAGAATTTCTTTTAAACAAAAGATATACAAAGTACTGTACTTATTTTTATTCTAAAAAAACAAATACTTTACTCATCTTTATTAAAAAAAAAAAGAAAGCACTTTACTTATCTTTGATCTTTGTTAAAATAAAATAAAAAGAAAGTACTTAACTTTTTATTTGAACCAAACCCGATTTTTTAAATTGTTCGGATAGTTCGCATCCAACGTGTGGTCCATTAAGCCAGAGAACCGAAGGGTTCGAGAATTATGGAGAATTGAAGTTTCCACTCTACGTGGCCGACCGATTTTCGCGCGCCAAACAGTGGTTCAAAAGCCAGATTTGGGCATAAATAAATCTGATTGAATGTTGAAACCGTGCAAAATAAATTTTTCCGGATTCTCGTGGGTCGCTGGGTTCAGAAATTACGGACACTTCATTATTTTAAAATTACAGCTCAGGAGCACTTCTTTAGAGCCCCACCGAGCGCCGACCGGTCGCTCAGTGAGCCTCTTAAGTAGCGCCAAGGAGAAAAAGTGAATTTTTTGGAAGTATCTATAATTTCTGAAATCAGCGACCCTCAGGAATCCGGAAAAATTTATTTTGCCCGATTTTAACATTCAATCGGATTTATTAACACCTAAATTCGGCTTTGAAACCGTAGTTTGACGCGCGAAAATCAGTCGGCCACGTAGTGTGGAAACTTCAATTCTCCATTATTCTCGAACCCTTTGGTTCATCGGCTTAATGGACCACTCGTTAGATGCAGGAAGAGACCAACAATTTAAAAGCTGGTCTTGGTTCAAATAAAAAATTGAGTACTTCGTGTATCTTTTGTTAAAAAAAATTTTCTCAACTCAAAAATTGAAAAAGAGCTCATATGGTAACTTGAAAATGTGATCTCGAAATTTTCTTCGTGCGAGAGATATCGGGGTTTACAGGTTTTTACTCCCACCCCCTCCCTCCCTCCTGGCCCTCCAGAAAAAATTTAGGGGGTCTGAAAATTCGGGAAAAGGAGCGCTCTAGTATTGGTAATCAAAAGAGAAAGTTTGAAAGAATTCGGGGGGGGGGGGGGGAGAAAATGCGTTTTTGCATCAAGTTCTTTGCTCTAATTTCACCTAATTGCCCAAATCTTCATCTCAAAGATGATGTAGGTGTAGGTACCTAATACTTTTCGTTGAAAATTGACCGAGAGGTTTACTCTAGCACTGTAAAACACTAAATTAAATTAAATCAAATTGAAAACAATTATTCCTTTTACATCTTGCAGGACTACAAAAATTGAGGAAAAATTCATCCTTCATGAATGAAATCTGAGGCTTATTTGAGAACGATTGCAGATATTGTCTTGCGGTTTGGACGGAACTTTCTCGAATAAAGAAGGTACATTTTTATGAGGGGTCATGGCCCGAGTTTCGCTCTCCTTCCAGGGAGTGAAGGGCAGGAGGCAACTTTCGAATTAAGGATGGGAACCCCCTGCGCATGTTACCTCCTCAGTAAGAACACAGGGTAATACATTTTTCACGTTAATTTCAGGTTGCCATTGATCATCGTTTCAAAATGGAGGTCGGTTAAAAATCGAAATGGCGGAAATCATCTCATCTTGAAAGTATTCCAATATTTTTTAATTTTGATGTCAGATAATTTTTTTCTGTGCCAAGGAACTCCCTGATCACAGTTCTTTGGCAAACGGTCAAGATGACCCTTTTCGCAATGTTTGAAGGGTGCTATCTTAAAAATATCTCTTAGCATAATAGTTTTACGTTCTAATGTCAGATTCGTTCTTTTAGTAAAACATACCGACGGTCACCGAGTTTCACTTGAATCAGTCGGTTAACAACCAGGATATCAATTTTCCGCCACTTCGTTTTTAATCTGGCCTTTATTTTGAAACGGTGATAGGTGGTAACCTGCAACTAACGTGACAAAATATAATTTCTTATGTTCTTACTAACAAGGTCACACCCGAGGGGGGTTCCTATCCACAATTCGAAAGTTGCCCCCTGCCCCCCGCTCTCTAGAAGGAGGGCGGTGGTAGGGTTATAAACTCATGACCCCCCCCCCCATAAAAATGCACCTACTTTTATTCCAGAAAGTTTTGTCTAAACCGCACGTCAATATCTGCAACAATTGTCATGCTATTAACAAGTATCATCCATATCTTGTGGACACCCTGTACATATAGATAAAGCGCGCGCCCCCCTCCCCCGGAAAATCAGGTGGGTATTTGTGAAGGATGCAGACAAATGAGGGAAAAAAGTAGGAATACCTACGAAGCTCAAATACGATTTTTTGATGAGCAACATTTGAGGAACATCCGAGGTGCAGCATAAATGGCGTTTATGTAACAAGTTCTCTCATAGGTGGCCCCAGCATATGATATCAAATTAATTACTTTTATCCATAGGTATACCTGGTCCTCCTGGTTTGGATGGACTGAGCGGGCCGAAGGGAGAACGTGGGGAAAAAGGACTATTAGGTTTACCCGGCTCACCAGGAGAACCAGGACTTCCAGGACTTCCTGGACCAACAGGACCCAAGGGGGAAATTGGTTTTCCAGGCGCACCTGGAATTCCAGGGTTACCTGGTCCATTGGGTCCAAAAGGAGATCGCGGCCCCACTGGTCCTCAGGTAAAATTATGTTTTATTATTTGTTCCTGATCTTTTAATTAATGGACTTATAGGTACGGGTTAAGTAATTCTGGAAATCCCTTCCACCCCTTCTAACTTTTGACCTACTTGAGGTCAAGATTTGATCGAAGAAGAAAAAGTTAAAAGACTGGTCGCACGAAAGATTTAAGAGAATATCGAGAGGGTTTTCAAACCTAAAGAGTCTCTGACAACAAAAGGCAAGCACCAGCCACGACCGCTTAGTACCTTCAGTCATCCTTGATGGTAGCGCTATTTATGCCGGGAACCGAATCAGTACCTATGTGGTAAAGTAACCTATACTTAAATCTGCTTACGGTGGAATCAGAGTTGCAGATGTACCCCTTATTTTTTTGCAATTTTTTTGCAAGCGAGGAGAACCCGTCTTAGTAAAGCTTAGAATTTTCAATCCATTAAAATTAAAATGGTAGAGTTGGTCACTTTCATGCATCCCGACTACAGACTTTCACATCTATTGATATTGATGGAAGTTCCATCGCTTTCAATGTAACAGCCGAAGTCTGTGGTCGAACTACTGGCGGATGGCTACAGCAACGATCTGTTTTTCATCGTATACACGGCAGCAAAAACGCTTCCGTAACATTCCCTTCGATTTACAGACATGCAGAAGATCACGATCATTGCGAAGGATGTCAGACACATGCAGACTCATTTCTCTGGATGTTACACGTGGGTTCAAAAAATGTACAAACCCGGTCACTCGCATTATTATTCAGTTTCTTCGTGTGATCATATTGGATATCTTCATTGCTAATAAAAAAATGGCCCTCGAGCGCCCTTTGCACTGAATGTGTCTGATGTGATGAGACGGAACATCTGCATGAAAATGGGAGGTGTGGGAGAGTTGGGACATTTTTTATATCTCCCCCAAAACACCCAAAATTTTCTTAATATCGCAAAACTAAAAATGTTCTCTTCTTATGTACATCCTTATGCTTTGTTCTGCAAAGTTTTGCCTTATTGAACGAATATAGGAGCTTCGCAAAAAATTAAATAAAATTAAATTAAATTCGTCCCAAGTCTACAACCCCCTCCCCCGTTAGAGAGTTGGTACGCACTCCCTCTCCCCGTAAGTTGGAACGGGGTAGAAACAACTTCAAAGTTGAGAAAAAATTCAATTTTAATGAGAACTTTGTGAGCTGAAAGTAACAAAACCTGAAATTTGTGATATAATTAGGTATGACAAAACTAGCATTTTTGGTAAGAGCATTTCCTGGCGGTTTCTAAAAATAATGGCTGTCAACTTTGGGAGACACCTGACAGCATATCGAAAAAAAATTTCGCTTTACATGTAAAAAGTTATTTAACAGTCAAAATGAGAAATTGGCAAGCAGCCATCAAACTTCAACTGAAAACTTTGAAAGTGCACCTACTCCCTTTGGGCCCGACTCTCCCACTAGTCTGCCGTGATAGCGGAGAGAGCCGTCCCTAGGTGCAAAATTTTCGAAATCGAGTTTTCTTCAAAATTCGTCTAAACTCTTTTAGATGAAATTACAGAGACAGCTAAAACTGCAAAATTCATCCTAACTTAATGAAAACGAGACGTATGAAAAAGTCGTATAAGTGCACAAAAAATGACATAGTTTTTTTCAAGACAGCCGTAGCGTAGGTGCATGAAAGCCAATGAAAACAGTGCTTTCAAGAGGAATGCCGCCCCTCATCTGCTGATTTCTAACCTGAAAATGTGTTTGTTGTGTGTCCAAAACACAACCACGAAAGTATGCAGAAGATAGCACTTACGGCTGTCAGAGGCGTGGCGTGACTATATCCGGTAGGCGTTCGGTAGGAGTGTTAACTTTAGGAGGGGGGGGTCAGAAAGGTTCACTCCATCTCCTTAAAGGGGGGTTCGGGGGGCCTCCCCCGGAAACTTTTTAAAGAATGAAGCCGCAAGAACACGATTTTAACCCTTTCTGGTGAAAATTGTGCCGGTAAATTGTCATTGAAATTTTGTTCTTTTTACCGATCGTTTTCCTGTAATTTATTTTGTTATATGATAACGTATTTTCGCAACACGCACCTGCAGAGAGAGGTGGGAGAGGGAGACTGGGAAACTGGGAGATGCGGGCGCAGGGGGGGAAGCGGAGGGCGAATCGCGGCATGGAGGAAATTCGGCGGTTCGCAAACCCCTGCGGACCACTGCTATAGGAAACAGCTGGACTGATGAGCGGATCTCCTCTCTCGTTATTTTCCCCTCCCTTTTCTCTCTGCTGTGTTCCCTCCGCGAGCGCGGTCCGCACTCGTCTCCGAACCCAACGCTCCGGTGCCTCTCCTCTCTCGTGTACCTTTTGCCCCTTCATCATTGCACCCAGGTTCTCTCTCCTCACCGTACGCTAATCATCCAGGTTCGGTAGCCGGTGCGGACCACGCGTCACAGGATTTTCTCTCTCCGCCGCGCCACATGCCGCTGTCGGAAGCCAAGCGCCCGATACTTATTTGCGATCTACTATTCTGTATTCTGTATTGCTTCCCACATTCTTAGCCATAATTTATTAATTGTATCAAAATATTTTAGGGTGTTCGGCGAACACTGCGAACCTATGGACGCCACGCCACTGGGCTGTCTTGCCTAACAATAACCTAGCATGAAAATGAAAAATAGCCTTTTTATGTAATATAAATAAAATCAGTCGATTTTTAATCATCCAAACGATTTGTAGGAGTCTTTCAGACGATTAGTGCAGTTTGACACAGAACGGAGGCTTCTTTCAATAAAATTTTCCGGTCAAAAGCTTCTGAGCCCGTTTTCTCAAAACTTCATTTTTGCAGTTACGGCTTTCTTCGCTATCACGGCAGTAGTGCATACGGTCCCAATTTTCACGGGCAGGTTCTCCCGCATAAATATTGCTGGTCAGAATTCTAGAATTGGAAGACCTATGAATGAAAGCACCCGGAAATCAGTAACAGAGGATTTTTCCAACATCAATACAAAACCATTAGCGAAACGATTAGATCTTTGAGAATCCGCCCACGCTATTTGGACTGCATTTTGCACTTTGGAACTATAAATTCTGGCTCCTCTGGAAAAACATTTATGCACATAGGGAAACTAGTGGCACATACGTTGTTTTTAACCGGGCTAGAATTTATAGTTCCAAATTGCAAAATGTACTCCATTCACTAATGAAATAAAAACGAAGTTTTTGACTCGAAAAAAAGACAATCTTTCCTGAAAAGTTGGAAACACGTCTAACGGTTTGTTAACAAAGATGTGTCAGGGGTACCATCACACAAGAAATCGACGTCCTGCTGCCAATTGTTATATAAAAAAAACGAAACTGTTCCAAATCAAACCCGTCCCAATTCAGCTAGGTTTCCCCTAAATAACGCCTTTTTGTTTTTTATTTATGCTCCTTTTGTCTCATACCTCTAATCGCAATACAACATAGAATAATGAAATTACTCTGCATTTTAATAATTAAATTACTTTTCTGATCTACTATATTTTATGCTCGTTACTACTAGAACTTGGTTCCGGCAGGTTAAATGATGAATTTAGAAGTAAATTATTGCGAAACTTTATTATACTATCCCACTTCGTCGGCAAACTTCGATTTAAATATCCATGCATAAATTTCATTGATTTTAATCTACAGGGTTTTAAAGGAGAGCCTGGTCCAGTATCGCAAAAAGGTCAGAAAGGAGAACCTGGAGTTGGAGGTTTACGAGGTCCAGTTGGTTCGCCAGGTTTTGACGGGAGACCAGGTCTCAAAGGTGAGCCTGGAAGGCCAGGCTACGGTAGACCTGGAATACCCGGTGAGAAAGGAGATGCTGGAATTCCCGGACGACCAGGTCTGGATGGTTCACCTGGCGTTAAAGGAGATTCGGGCATCCCTGGACCGCCTGGTCAGAAAGGAGAGCCTGTAAGCACTTTTATTTTATCAGCAAGTTTATTATAAGTGTACTATAGAGCCTATTTTTTCCAGTATTGTGAAAAATACGAGACAAGAATACAGTGGATATCGGATATAACGACATCGGTTATAACGACATATCGGGCATAACGACGTAAACTGGTCGGTCCCGGCTGAAATCCCATTCATTCAATGTATTTATGTATCGGTTATAACGACATCGCATACAACGACATATCGGTCATAGCGACGGAGTTTTCGCGTCCCAACAGATGTGGTCATCGGTTATAACGACCTGAGCGACAGCAACAGAGGCCGAAGAGGAGAGGATCTCGTTTCCAGACGCCCTAGAAGTCATCACAACTGTTCAAAAATTCCTAATTTTGAACCCAGAATGGAACGATTCCACTTTATCACACTTTACGCTCGGTCCATAGAACGTTACAAAAAGGGTACGCGAACACAATTGTGAAGCAAAAAAAAATCACGGACTATTATTCAAATTAGAAGTTTTATACTTCTTCGGTATTGCGCATATGTATAGCAAACATAATGTAGTGTGTAGTGCATGTAATCTCAATATTATAAAATACCTTGTTTTTACAAATTCAAACAAAGTGTTTTAATTAAAATTAGTCCTAGAATAAAAAAATAAAAAAACAAATGAATTAAATAAATATTCAATTCAAATAAAATTAGATAAAGCTAATAAACAAAGGTGTTACTGAAGAGATAATGAATCAGCAGCAAAATTCACCGGGCTCTGGAATCCCACCTACAGCACAGCCTTGTTCTCAGCTCTTTAACATAGGGTACGTGCGTAAAAATTCCACTATCGGTTATAACGACTATCGGCTATAACGACCGAATATGGCTGGTCCCTTCAAGGTCGTTATATCCGATATCCACTGTAT